CGCAAAGCCAAAAACGATGACGGTGACAAGTTTTTGTGTTCTCGAACTTGGAAATCGTATTAAGGTGGCATATGAAAGCCGCCGCCAGCCTTTCTCATACTCCTGTGTGTGTGGCAGCCGCTTGTAGCAATTAGAAGACATTAACATTTGGCCACATTGTTCGCTCGCCAGTTCAACCTTAGCAAATTAGTTAATAAATGTGGGAAGTTGTGTGTTTGTTACACTTTTTTGTTCGGGTTCTGTTTCATCATACCTAACACTCTCCTCTGCGCTTCTCATATTTTGTCTCACTTCTTTTTATGAGTGCGCCGCAATGAGTTTGCGAATTTTTGTTGTGCTGCCTGCTACCGACTCGACGACGGCGACGAGCGGCACTTTTGAAACGAGATTCTCTTCAGCAGTTCAGTTGCCTTCAATATTTTGACAAGCAGAACAATCGCATAGATATTGCAACTATTGAGTGCTCTTTAGTTTCCCACGATGTAATTGAAGTGTCGGTCAGAAGAAAGTCGGCCGCAGGGCATGTTGAAGAAGTTCTAAGAATTTCTAGAAGCTCTCTGAGAATACTTTAAATTATATTTGTTAAATTATTAATAACTAAAACCTTAAAGATATTATTTCTTCGCATTAAATAATATACTTTTATTTGTTATAAGTATTTCCTTAACAATTATGCTTAAGCTAGAGGTCAAAAAATAAAAATAGGGAATGATTTTCAACTGTTGAAATCTACATAAATAAATATATTAATATATATGGAACTGTTATTTACCGACTGATCGACTGATTCGGGTTTCGGAAAATTCTTTTATGTGATAGAAAACTTTTTAAAAATGGTTATGTAGAATTGTCTATTTATTTATCTGATCGTTCCAAAAATGTATAAAATATTTGTATTCCTTTCGATATTGACATTGATTGAACATTTTTAATCAATGTCACAGCATTTTATGGAAAATTAAAACGTGCTTTACAAATTGTTAAAATAGCCACCCTTTTGGTGGGAAATGGCGACACAGATTTTAAATTAAGCAAAAAACACTTGGACCAGGCAAAGCCGGATTATGCCTGCTTTACAGAAATTTTCAGGTGCACATTAATTTCAAATCCTTTTCCGGTTTTTATTCATTGCGAACAAAACAAAAAGAAAATTTCGAAAAGTGTTCTTTTTAAAACACGCGAGTGATGAAAAACTTTTGTGGAAAACTGCCAAATAACAAGCGTAAGCCAATGACAAAGGCAACCAAATAAAATTATGAAATGTTTAATGCAGCGCAACATGCAATGCAATTACGTACACAGGCAAAGTGGTGTGCGGGGTGGCGGGCCGACATGATAGAGGAAGAGAGAGAAAAAGTGGCAGAGAGCAAAAGCGCTGGGAAAACTTGTGACAAAAGCGCGGAAAAGCAGCGCCGGAAAAGTTTTTGCCATAGTATGATGAAAAACGTTTTGTGCGGGCTTAAGCCAATTTGTGCCAAACACAGCGAAAGCCAAAGCCAAAGCCAAAAGGCAAAAACAGAATCAGAAACTGAATCTGAATCAGAATCAGAGCCCACAAGCGCAAAGTCGGAGACAAACTTGCTTCATTTTGTAGCCAAATTAAAGTTGCAATCAAGTTTGAAGACTCGCAGTATCACAAAAAAAAAGGGTAGCTTAAAGGCAAATGGCAAAATGCTGTCGCATAATGAGAGCAGTTTTCTCCAGAGATTAAAGCTAATTCCCCAAAAGGAATCTCTGCGAGAATCTGTGGCTCGTTTGTCTGTAATTATTGGCAATTTCATGGCAATAAAATCACAAGCATGAAAAATTATGAATGATAACATTTGCAACATTGCAGGTGGAATTTCACAACATTTAAAGCAACTCATCGTTTGGCCTTAATCTGTTTCATTTTGTGCCCTTGCGTCTCGCCAGCTGCTTGCAGCAAGTTTGTTGCACTTGGGCTTATTTCTGTTTTTTGGGCGTGCACCGCTTAAATAGCCGCAATTTTTATATTAAAACATAAATGCATATATGTATATGCATATATATATATATATATATATATATATATATGTATATATACTTGAAGGCCTAAGAAACTTGTTTGCGAGTGCCGCATCTGGCTGCTGTCCTAACTGCTGCTCTTCGCGTCCTCTCCTCCTGCTGCTCTGGCGACCCTCTCTGTCTGTCGGGGCAAGGTGTGAATGCGTCAATGTGGCAATGCGGCAATGAACGCAAAGTCAAAGGGCTCCCAAAGCTTAAACCCAGCACAGCAGCTGATGTCACGCTGCAGGCCCTCGCTTTGCACGCTTCGTGCGTAATTAGGCCCTTTTTGTAATTAATAAAAATGATAACAGTAAACAGCAAAAAATATACTTTACGCTTGGGAATAAGCCAAAATTATTTCCTTAAAGAGCTGCACAAGTTTTCTTGTTAACAATAATTGAAGACAATTAAATACGTATTTGAGCTTCTAGCGTTCTTGATTTTATTTATTAATTAATCATTAATTTAATTAAATTAATTTTAACCTATTAGTGAGATTATATAAATTAAATGTACTTCCATATTTTCATTCCATTTTAATTATAACTAATAATATTTAATTAGGGTGCAGTGCCGTATTTATCCACTTTTGGTTAGAGTACGATGTTTTTCTCTGTTTATTTGAAGTTATTATAAGGTAATCTAATTCTAATTTACGATAACCTGAAAGCTACACATGTGTGGTTAATAAAAAATAAAAAAATAAATATATACTGTTGTAAATATAATTAAACACTGGTTTTGGCGACCTTTCCATTTTTTAGTTTTCTAAAATCAAATATGAAAAACTATTTTGCTTAAATATACAATTTTCAGCTATATTTCGGTTGTGCCTTAGCAACCGTCTTAAGTGAATTTGATTTAAATCGATTTTTGGCATATTTTTATAATTTTATATATTTTTTATATTATTAGTTTATTTTACTTTTTGCAGGCAACAAGCGCATTTTAGTATGGTTTTTTTGTTGGAGAGCTTTCTATTGGAACACGCCAGTTGTTTCTTACTTAGGATATCCATTCATATACTTTTAAATATAAAAAGTCAATAAGAACTCCAGCCATTTCCATGATTGATCGCAATTGTGTCGTAACTTGTGACAGTTTCAATGCTAGGAAAGAGTATTCAATGGATGTACTTACTTTTCAATATATTTTCTCAATAGCAATTCTATTTTATCAGGCCAAGGCTCTTCACTTTCGACCTATTTCAACTGTATGATTCCATTGCTAATATGTATATATAACTGATATAACACGTTGATAATAAAACATTGCACAACATTTCTTGGAATCTCGACATTAGCCTCTTATTTAAAGGCGCTGTCTGTGAAGTCGGTGACATTCGATGTTGTCCGTGAGTTGAAAACATTACATTACGCGAAAAACATAATTATATACTCAAGAAAAATGTTCATAATTTCAAAGTGTTTGTGATTTTAATAGCTATTTTGCCGGTGACTTTAGGTACACACTCTTCGACCGGTAATGAATCAGTGAGTAAATATGGCTAGAGTAAGTTTGATAAAATAATTTACAAATTCTTCCCAGTTTTGCCAGTCAGTTTACAAAAATGATGAAAAATGCAGTGCAAAACCAATGCTTGAGCATATTGCAAAGGTTAACAATGAAACCCCAATAAAAAACGAGAAAATAGCTGAATTGGAACAAATATTCAACATTAATACAATAACTCTGAAAAACAATGAACAACAATTAACAAAACTATATGATAAATCTATGAAATGTGAAATGCAGTTGCTGATCCTCCAAACACAGGCAAACCTAACTTTATGCGAAAAGAATGCAGCTTGATAAAGATGTGGAAATTAACAGCCTAAAAATGAATTTAGTTGAGTACAAAAAAAAACTGGAGCATCTCCCGACCAGTTGTGTTGATCTTAAGAACTATTCGGGAATTCTAACATTAAAAGTTGAAGGCTTAAGCCCGTTTGTCGGGTCATCCGTTTCGAATCTGGCGGGATCAGGGTGGACCGTAATACAATGCCGCATTGACGGAAAAGTCGACTTCTATCGACCATGGCAGGATTACAAACATGGCTTTGGAAATGTTATAGAAGAATTCTGGCTCGGGCTGGAAAAGCTACACAGAATTACGAGCGCACAGAGATACGAACTTTACATTCAACTGGTGAATCAGGAAAATGAAACACGTTTTGCCAGATATGATGATTTTCGAATTGGAAGTGAGCAAGAGAAATACAAGTTGATTTCAATTGGCGAATTCAGCGGAAATACCGGTGATTCCATGAAACTGCACAAAGGATTTAATTTTTCTACATACGATAGCGATAATGATGATTATGAAAATTGGAATTGTGCTTCGAGAGTAAAAGGTAGCTGGTGGTATTTTAACTGCGCGGATAGGTAAATCAATTATTAAATTATGTTGTTACTGTTTATAATGCTCAACATTTGCAATTAATTTCTTAGCAACCTAAACGGCAAAAGGTTCGACTGTAACGTTGAAGATACGAATGAGCTAGAAACCACTGGATGCATTTACTGCTATCATTGGCATGGCCGGAGTCACTCCCCAAAATATGTCCTGCCATGGTCGATAGAAGTCGACTTTTCCGTCAATGCGGCGTTGTATTACGGTCCACCCTGATCCCGCTAAATTCGAAACGGATGACCCGACAAACGGGCTTAAGCCTTCAACTTTTAATGTTAGAATTCCCGAATAGTTCTTAAGATCAACACAACTGGTCGGGAGATGCTCCAGTTTTTTTTTGTACTCAACTAAATTCATTTTTAGGCTGTTAATTTCCACATCTTTATCAAGCTGCATTCTTTTCGCATAAAGTTAGGTTTGCCTGTGTTTGGAGGATCAGCAACTGCATTTCACATTTCATAGATTTATCATATAGTTTTGTTAATTGTTGTTCATTGTTTTTCAGAGTTATTGTATTAATGTTGAATATTTGTTCCAATTCAGCTATTTTCTTGTTTTTTATTGGGGTTTCATTGTTAACCTTTGCAAAATGCTCAAGCATTGGTTTTACGATCCGAAATGCATATGTGCCACATTGTTCCCCTAGTTTTTCGAGCAACTAGCAAAATTGAGAGACAATCGTTAAGATAATTAACTATTATCGAACTCATGTTTTGAACTTTAGCCCAATCTACTCACTGATTCATTCTCGGTCGAAGATTCTTTTGGCCAAGCCACAGACAAAGTAGCTATTAAAATCACAAACACTTTGAAATTTATTAACATTTTTCTTGAGTATATAATAATTTTTTTTACGTAATGTAATGTTTTAAACTCACGGACAACATCGAATGTCACCGACTTCACAGACAGCGCCTTTAAATAGTAGGCTAATGTCGAGATTCCAAGAAATGTTGTGCAATGTTGTATTATCAACATGTAATATCAGTTCAATATATATATATTAGCAATGTTATCATACAGGTGAAATAGGTCAAAAGTGAAGAGCCTTGGCCTGATAAAATAGATTTGCTATTGAGAAAATATATTGAAAGGTAAGTACATCCATTGAATACTATCTCCTAGCATTGAAACTGTCGCAAGTTACGACACAATTGCGATCAATCATGCAAATGGGTTAAGTTCTCATTAACTTATTATATTTAGAAGTATATGAATGGATATTCTTAGTAAGAAAAAACTCACGTTTCCCAATATAAGGCTCTCCAACAAAAAACCAAACTTAAGCACTTGTTTCCTGCACATATTGATCTTAGGTTGCTGTTGCTCAGCTGTTTCAACATGTAAAAACTATAGATTAATAGGCCAATGGGATGCTTGGTGCTCTGCATCCCCCACCAGCGCAATGGCGCCAATAATGGCCCCTTGTGAGAAGTAATTAAAAAAGGAAAACCCTTTTTCGGGACGGTCTGTCGCCACGGGGCGACAAATATTAATTGCATGTGAGTGCGCCACAGACATGAACATGATCAGCATTTAAAATTATATTATTCTGGACCATTCCGCCGTATATCATATAACAGGTCAAACCTCTCCCCGTAAAGCACACCGAACAAAAAGAGGAGAGTAAAGGCTGTTAAGAAGGGGCGGTGGCACGTAGTGTGGTATGTTACTAGTTCGAGTCCTATAGAGAAAAATATTTTTTTACTGGTAAAGCAAACAAGCATTTGGTGTTGGTAGAAGGGGGTTCAGGGTATCCTCTAGACGGGAGCTCCCGACTAGAACCTCTAACTTGTTTTTTTTTCGTACAACTTCATTTGCCCTGATCTCTCTCCCTCTCTCTCGTTAACAAAAGTCGGATTAACAATAGTCTCTGGGTGGAGTTCAACTTTAGACTGTTTTATAAAACACGTGACATTTGTCTAGCTGGCAGCGTGTTAGCCTCGCTTTTTGTTGCTACAGGATAATGGGCTACCAGGTGGGTGTACTAAATGCCCTTGCTCAAGGCAGCTACAGTTGCCCTCATCCTGTCATAATTTGCTGTGACTAAAGGCGCTTTTGTGCGCGTGCAGCATACCTGGAACCAAAACTGGACACACGTACCGCGATTAGCCACGCATGCGCGCGCTGGGCCAATAAGGGGCAAGAGTGCAGTAGGAGGGTACGGAATGCTAGTGGTGCCTAGTTAGTAGCTTGGAAAATGTCAACTGCTTGGGCAGCTGATTTGGCACGCTCGAGGCTGCTGCTGGTGCTGCTGCTGGCCATTGCAATCAGCTTGGACTACTGCATGCTGCCTCTTAATGTCCAGCCATAAAATGCAATTTCAAGGCTTCTGCTGCCGTTTCAGTAGTCCCTTAGTTGTTGCTGCTGCTGCTGGTGCTGCTGCTGTGCATCCTTTTGTCTGGGCTACTTCATGGAAATGCATTTCGCACGCGGCATGCAACAAACTCAATCTGCAGCTCATACGTTGCAAATATTTTGGTCCAAAACAAATTTCAAGCTGCGTCAAATTGCCTTTAGGGTCCGCCTAGTCCCTGACATGCGTCCTCTGTTTTGTGACAGGCTCGTGCTGTGCTGCTACGGCTTCTGCTTCTGCTGCTGGTCCCAGCTCTTGTCCTAGCGCTTTTGTTTATCAATTAAAGGCAGCTAACTGTTGTTTACGCATCTTGCGGTTTCGCTCAGGTGCAAGCCAGCTGCCCTGTCAAAACAAAGCAAAAGCACATTTCCAGGATATTCCCCAGCTGTCACGTCCACTGCAGTAGCACTGCAGAGGGAACCCTTCACAGCTGTTGGTCTGCCTAGTCAGGTGAAAAAATGTTCTCTATATGTGTATGCTGTGGAATTCTTTCGAATATTTCTTTAAAAAAGTCAAGATCTGTTAATACATCCACGTCCTACTTTATTTCACGCTTCTTCTGGCTTAAAGCCATTCTAAGATATTAAATATTATTAAATATTAAATAAAAGTTTTGTCACATAAACCCTATTTCAAAATCTTTATAACAATGAAAACTCAGTATATTAGTCCTTTGTAAATTATAAAATTTTTTAATAATAGTAATTACACTAGGGAGAGCAATTCAATATTTTATAAGCGTGTTTGACGAAATCGGTATTTTTTTTAAAGTTTTGAAGTCCCTAAAACCGATTATTAAACACATTTTCGAATGAACGGTTTTTTGTAAAAACTATATTTACAACTTTGAAAATTTTGTTCCTGCCATTTCTTAGGGTTGTGTGGCCGATTTCAAAAAACGTTACGCCAATTAGAAGCCAATATATATACCATATACCCACACTTACACATTAAAAACTAATTGAATAATAATAATTATGCGCATATTTTACTGTTAGAAATTTGTAGCTATTTTTAGCCTTTCCCCGACTAGCTTATGAAATATCTTATAGATTATGTGAGCCTCTTTTTGGCTAGAGATAATTTGTAAAACTGATAGAATTGCACATGCGATTTACTCTTATGAGTAGTCCGATGTGCAGCGCAGCACTTGTGTAACTAATTTAGCATGTTGCATGAACGGTTGTTGCAACATTTGAGTATTCGTATAATTGAGCTAATAGCCACAACATGAAGCAGATGCTGCTGGCTGTTATTGCTGTTGTTGCTGTTGCTGCTGCATTTGGATTGAGCCTGGCACTTGAGCCCGTGGCGAATTGCAACAATTGCAACTAATTGGGGCAGATGCAGTCGAATAGCATCTAAGCTGCACTAAGTACACTCAGAAAATTGAATATTAATGCCAGAGATTGCACTTGAAATGGAAGGCCGGGCCAGCAAATTGCCACACATTGCATGCAACAAAATTATGGACATGCCAACTCTGCCCTCTCTCTTTCTCTCTCGCTCTCTATACAACAGAAACCAATTGAGCGAGCAATTTTCGCCCGCTCTCCTTAAGCCATTCGCCATGCCACACAAGCAAATAGGAGCCTGAACAAGCAGGCAGCTGCCTGAGCAGGAGCAGGCCTGGATTTGGTTTCTTTTGCTGAGCTCAAAGGACATTTCATTAGCACTTTTGCATCTTTTCCGGTTCAATCGAGCGTTGAAAATTTCGTTTCGTCACAAGCGATTTGGGTCTTTTCACAGTTTCCGCTGCGCAGGCGCAACAGACAGAGGCAACAAGAGAGCAAAAACGGGATAGCAACAGACTAAGACTCGTGTGCCCTGCCACCGCCTGCCGCTTGCCGCTTGCAGTGGCACGTTGAATGTCTGTCAACCTCGTAAATCCTGTTTGAAATTACGTGCGTCGCAACGCGTTGCGGATCGTTGCATGCGTTTGTCTGTAACGAATTTCTTATTTGATTTTGTACAATGTGTTAACTTTTGTACAAAATACAAATTCACATTTTCCCATTTCGCAACGGTTTTCGATTTTCAATTGCTACTAAGTACTAGTTGTTGCTGCTGCCCCCCGCCCACTCCACTGTCTGGGCAGCTGTGCGTCATTTGATTTTGTGGACACTGATGAGGTGTAGCGAGAGATATAACACATGTTATTTTGTATATTAGGGGGTAGGGGGTTGGCAGCGTTACCAGTGGATGTGTGGCAAATATAGGGATTTCAGGGTTGCCAGATTTGTATGCTTGAAATAAGCTAAGTAAATAAATTTGTGATAAAAAGAGATGTAAATCCGAAAAAAAACATCGATTTTTAACATAGGATAAAAGTAAAGCCAAGGAATATATAAATGCCTGGCTCTATCAGTAAATCGACATCGATAGATATATATATATATATGGCCGTCGAAATTCTTTGCGAGATGTATTAAAAATTTCTTCGGTGTCTTTTGATAGCATGATGTTCGAAAGAGTAAAGTTTTTGCAAAACTTGAGCAATTTACATCGAGTTAAGATCGTTAAAAATAGCCTCGGCAATAGTCAATGTTTCGGTTTATTTTTATTTTAAGCACTAAAAGAGTATTATTACCTGGTACACAGATTTAACTGGGTGGTCGTCAGGAGAAATAAGTTGATTTTATGAATGAGTTTATTTTAGACATGTATATGCACATATACATAGAACCTATATATATAGTACATATAAAAATAACTTCGAATACATATACATAAATAAATATGCTACTAATTAGTCAAATTGTATAAAATTTGTCGCTAAAACATTTAGATTTGAATAAAATACTCTATGACAGCAGTCCTTGAATTTCCTCCAAAGTCTTGCCCTTCGTTTCTGGCACAAAAAATATAACGAAAAAACATGCCAGTATGGAGAAGAAAGCAAATACCCAAAATGTTACAGCCGAGCCGAATTCTCGCACCAATATTGGAAACATCTTTGCCACAACAAATCCGAATAGCCAGGCACTAGTGCCGACAATGGAGGCACAAATGGGTTTCACATCTTCCGCAAAGAGCTCGGCCATAACTAACCAGCAGATGGGCCCGAAGCCCATAGCAAATCCAATAAAGAATAAAGCAATCGCCAGGATCGACAGCCAGCCAATGTTTTTATCTGTTAAAAATTTAAAAAAGAAGCCCATTGTTAGGTTGGCAATTAGCATCAGGAAGGCAGAGATTAGCAGCAACACTTTGCGTCCCACTCGATCAATAATTAAAGTAGATAAAAATGTTGTAATAATTTGCACAACACCAGTTATAATGGTGCAATTGGACGGGGACAGTCCGGTGCCAGCTTTATCAAATATGCCCGTCACATAAAAAACGATTCCATTGATGCCCGTGAATTGTTGGAGCATCATCAGCAGCACTGCTATGATGAGACCTCGTATGGTGGTCTTACGTAACATCGCGTTCCTGAGCATGATCTTCTCCTTTTTGCTTTCCGCCTCGAACGCGGCCATTTCGCTGTTAATGTCTGCATCGGTTTTACGGAGGCTTTTCAAACCCTTCATTGCTCGCTCCGGCTTGCCCTTCTGCACCAGATACACCGGCGATTCGGGCAACCAAATGATGAATATAAACCATACAATGGGCAGTGAGCCGATCACAATGTTAACAGGCAGCGGTTTGAGAAAGGCGCCAACAATGAATGAAAACAGAACTCCATGCACGAGCATCAGCTGAAAGAAACAGCCCATAATTCCACGCACTTTCACT